CTAAGTTTCATGGGTTTTAAGGTGTCATGTTGCTTGCGCGCACCTGAGCAGCAGACACAGAAGGTTTTTCAACAGCACAGTCGGCAGTTCCGAATGCGTCGCGAGCAATGTGGAGTTACACGTGCGGTCCTGAAGGAACAAGGTCCTGAAATGCGCAATACCAACAATCAGTCCGCATCTAGACATACGATTTGATCGCTGTCCTTTTACGTAAAACTGACATGACTTGTAACTGTTCGAAGCATTGTCTTTGGGGATGACAAGACTTGGGCGCAAGCGCTATATGTCTCAAAACTCGCTTTACCCAACCAAAGCAAACACACACGCACACATACACACACACATCTAGATCATGATGTACCTCAAGAGAACAGCGCCGCCATTACATTGGCACTACAAGAATCATCCTTTCACCACTCCAAACATAAGGACCTGTCTGTTGAAACGAGAATTGTTTTCGATATGGAGAGACGGAGTACACATGAATGAACATTCACAGTGTGTTTGTATGCTTTTCCAGATCCCGATTGCCCCTAATTGAATAATCTATGGACCTGTTTCAGTCATTCAAACTCTGCAGAATTGGTTTGCAAAACCCCGCCCATACCAGCCTACACCATGGCTCACCCGGGAGTCAATACGACCTGAGCTCCCGGATGGTCCCTCGTAGGACGTGAGCTCCCGGATGGCCCCGCCCCGGGGCGGGAACAGCCCACAGCCTAAAACCGCACGTCACGACCCGAAGGGCAGTTGGGGAGCAGAACCGAAGAAGCCTAAGAAAAGTGATGAAGAAAAGGCTGAAAAGAAAGCAGATGACAAAGAAGAGAAGAAGAAAAGGACAGCCGACAAGTCCAAAAGCAAGGACAAGGATAAAGAGAAGAAGGCCGAAAAGGAGAAGAAGCGGAAGAGTGAATCCCCGTTTGATCAGGAACAAGCTGAGAAGCGGCAGCGCGGAGAAAAAGAGCTAGAGTAAACCAAGGTTGCGGTTTAACACACAAGAAAAAGCCGTGAGGGCGGAATTCGCCCAGCAGCAAGCGTGAGGGCGGAAATCGCCCAGGAGCAAGCAAAGTTTCACAATGCATGGAAGAAGGGGCAGTAAGGCCTATCCTTGCGTGTGAAAAGGGAGAGCTATGCTGAAGTGAATTCCAAAGAGAAGAGCGGAATTTCACGGAAAGGCGTTCGACGCCACGACAGCAAAAGCTGAGACCCACGACAAAGCACTACGAGCACAACGAAAGTGTTTGAAAAGAGGCAAATGGCCTAAGACGAAAGTTTCCAGATTGCCGAAGAGCAAGTATGGACCTACATCGCGAAACGCGACGTGAAGAAAAAGTGAGTGCGCTTTAGATTCTGAGTGAGTCCATGCCAATCGTGTGTGGAGTGGAAATTCGCAAATCTGTTATAGGACATCTGAAGATTGAGGATGAAGACCAAAGGCAGAAAAGGTTAAAGATGTTCAAGAAGTGCTCAAAGAAGCGTGCGAGAAAAGAAGAACAAGCTCACAGGAGCATGCGAAAACAGTGGTAGAAGTAGGAAAAGTTTCACAAGGATCGCATTACACGACGAAGCTGTGTATGCGATGAGGGCGTAACAGATAGTTCAATTTTCCTTCATGTCCATTTACATACAGGAATCCAGTGTTTCACCGCAGGTCAAACGTAGGCTCAAGCACAGCCCGACAGCGGAGCACAGAGTGGAAAAGAATCCAAGCTCGCGCCGTGGTTATAAGAAGTATACTGGTATAAGGGTTTAAACTTTCACAGTTCCAATGTTCCAGATGCAAGATGCATTCGGAAATGGGAATCGATATGATGTTCCTGGCACCTTGTCGGAGGTCGATCCCGATACCAAAGTCAGTAAGGAAGTGACTGATGAGGAGATCCTACAGTACGCAAGGGAGAAACAGGATGCAGAGGACCCGAACGGTGTCTACCTCCTGAAACGCTTCCGTACTAACCAGATCGTTTCCGCACTGATTCGAGGATCGGTCCAGCTGGGGTACAGCCGAGAAGTCTTCAATCCCAAACATACATGAAGCGAGACAATGACACGAAAGTCTTGCACTTTAGCTGCTTGAATGTGCTGTGCGAGATTATTCCGAAGATCACGGGGTACAATCAGTTTTCTCTCATCAGACCAGCTCCAACACGACCTGTGGACTTTCTCTACATCGATCCCGTGGGTGTCCTCATGATGCACAGCACCAGGGACAATTCCTCACGGACGATTGCAGTGATCATTGACCACAACATCCCGGTCCAGGTGAAGTTCGTCGACAAGCTTACTGCTAGCAAGCTTGAGAAACAGAGGAATCCCAACGCCGCACGTCCTGCACTACATCACATGTCGGCCTCTGATTACCTTCCAAGTGGGCAAAGGTCCAGCATGGATACTGCGATCATGGCTGAAGAGAGCGAAAGAGTCACAGCTCCCAAAGCGGCTCCCCAGGCTTCAAGCCAAGATCGAGACTATCGACGGGGATGGAACGCGAATTCCTTCCATGATGCCAAAGGCAAAGGTAAGGGCAAATGGAAAGGGAAGACCAAGAACCCTGAAGAGAATCTCCGACCATGGGAACGCGATGATCCCGCTCGAACTCGACTCAACTCGACAATGGGTCAGGGACAACACGTGAGCTGAATGCATTATGATCGTGACCTCGGCTATATGATCGTGATCTTCGATTGCGAATGCCTTTTCTTCGGTGACGCCTGATTCTGTATGTCATTTCGGGAGATCGTCACTGACGTAGATGAGTGTCACGTATCTTCTAATTGGGATACATGGCTCTTGTTCAAACGTCTCAAAGTTGCGGCGGATCAATCCCTAGTGTTTTCCAATCGTGCCATCTTCCGGTTGAGTAGGGCTGGAGGCACGACTCATGGGGGGTGCGAACGGACCTCGATACCCAGTCCGACTCTGTGGTGTCACGATAAGAGCTATGAGTTCTAGTATGTACAGCTGAGAGCAGGGGAACGCTTCGCGTACCTTGTTTCCAAGTGTTAGCTTGGGGGAACGCTTCGCGTACCTCAGTGCTGCGCTGCATCCATCATGCCGCCTACGCAACTTTGGCTCAAGAAACTGATGCCATAAGCTTAATATAGCTTATCGTCTTCTGTGACCCTTTCAAGAGCAGAGCCATCCCGCGCACAGACGACTCATCGCCTTTCTCGAAGGAGAAAAGAAGCGTGCTCTGAGTCTGCCTGCCAGGGATAAGGTTCGGACCGTGGAAGTGGAGGTGATAAATTATCGAGTCTGTTGAGAAGGGCAACCACACAATCAATAGCTCGGTGGGGTGAGCGACAAAGGACAACATCAAGATCAAATCCCCACGCACATAGAGTCGAGTGCATAATACATAGAGTGAAGTGCATCGAGTTACGTGCATAGCATAGTACATAGAGTGAATGAAGTACATCGAGTTACGTGCATAGTACATAGAGTGAAGTACATAGAGTCAAGTGCATAGTCTTGTACTTGACTGTATGACACTATGTGCCTGTGTGCCTGACATATGTACTTGACTTTATGCACTGGACTGGACTAGACTTATATGACTCTATGTACATGTATACTTGACTCTATGACTCTTTAGGGTTAGGGTTTATGGCTGAGGGTTTAAAGCTTAGGGTTTAGGGTTTATTGCTTAAAGGTTTAGGCGGTTTAGGGTTTATAGGCATTAGTTCACCAATAGTAAACCAATAAACCTCGAGATTTTCGTTTGTTTCAGTCATCCAAGAAAAACTTGAGGTTTGGGGACCTTTGAATCGGAAATTTGACCTTAGCCCAAAAGAGACACCTCCAGTGCTAAAGTTTGTATACAAAAATCGTTTTAACCTGGGGGACTCTATGCATCTATGCATTGGACTGTTTGATTCTATGTACTTGACTTTATGCACTGGACTATGCATTTGACTCTATGCATTTCACTGTATGCAGTTGAATTCATGTACTTGAGTTTATGCACTGATTCAAGAGCTCGGACAACATGGAGTGAAGTACGCAAAGTGAAACACATAGAGTGCAATACATAAAGTCAAGTACATCGATCTCGGCATTATTATGTACTTGATGGCTATGACTATATGCACTTCACTCTTTGGCTCTATGATTCTATGCACTGGATTCTATGACGTAGCGCAAAATTCTTCGCTAATGATGCTTTCGGGCCAATTGTCTTCCATCATTAGAGAAGATCCATTGACCGCGCAACTGTTTTTACCAAGCATAGACGCCAGCCTGCCTATAACCAAGAGCAAAAACCAAGACACATCCACAACATTCAGACGTAGACGTATATTGGAAGCCATTGGTTTTGAGGAGTTTGCCGTTGTGGCGAGGCCCCCACTTACAAAGTTCCGGTGTTACCTTGGAGAGAACCGTGAGCGAGCATGTCACGTTCCGGTTGTAATGCAAAGAATTAAGAGTCGAAAACTGATCTTGTTGACCACCTTGAGTCGGCGGATTTCAAGCCATGTCAGAGCATTGAGCTAACTAGCTCCCCGGTGGGTTCTCACGTTTTGGTTTCGATGCCGCCCCAACCCCTCATGCCATTGTCTTGCTTTTTGCAAGTAGACCCCTTTGAAAGCCAAGAGTTTAGTGCCTGTCTCCACTTTGCGGCTCATTGTAGCACCATGTATGTTATGGAAAGTGTGGGACCAGCAGCGATGGTAAACTTGTGTTTGGCACGCTTATGTTGACGGTCGGTCACAATGCAACGATGAAGACCGTTACGATGACAGTGTGGGACAAGGGTGACGTGGTGCAGTGTGATGTAGCATGTAGCATGGCCACCCTGGTACCGATGCGTTGGATGCCAAGCCGTGTACAAACGAACACCGTTGCGCATCTTAGGCCTGAGGCACACATGTTTGGCACATGTCAATGTTGTGCAAGTCTTGTACTGAAGACCCAGGGGCGCTAATCCGGGTTTGAGCTTTGCCACCGAACTCGGTGATGACCGGCATCGGTTTCCACGTGTGAGGTCCAAGCGGGTTCTTATGGCAGCTCGAGTGGTGCTGGACTTAGAGTTGTTCTGCACATGGTGCTTCGTGCATGCATGATCCTTTTGCTTGATTGAGATGTCCTTCTAGGGGTTTGATGCCAATGTGTTCCGGGCATGATTGATTGTTTCTGTACGACAGAACAGCATGGCAGGTTTTGCATCAAGTTCTCCATGGCGAACAAAGGCTGTTACACAGTAGCCAACACGCGCGTGGTCTTCGGACAGACATTGTGCTCTGCGGAAGGAAAGCGGCCAGGAGCAGCGTGCAAAGCCATAGAAGGACAGCAGCACAGGCACACTCCCAGTTTCATGTTGTTGTCGTACCACTTCTTGCAGGATCTCTGCCAGTGGTCTCGCACTTTCGTTGGAGGTTGGCCGGCTTCTCAGTTTCCCTGCTTATGCTCATACTTGCATAACGATCGCCAGTGCACGGTGCGCGCCGCATGCCGCAAGCAGCTTTGCATGCATCCGCTGCATCTGAAAACAAGGTCAAGAAGAAGAAGGCTTCTTGCAGACTTTGAAATGGTCAATCGAGGCTATGCACAAAGAGCGGTCTTTCTTCGGTGTCTGGTTGAATCTCGTTAATGCGTGCCTGCTAGGCACGTGTTCCAGGGGTGCACGGGCCGCCTGCAGGACCGCGTGCTCAACCGTGCTTGTACTCAGAAAGGAAGTGCCTCGCGACAGGAACCGGTGGCACGGGCAATGCCGGGGAGGTCACTGCATTGTTCGCTGTCATGCTGCAGATGTGCGCGTGGAGCAGGAAGATTCTGACAGTCAAGACGGAGATGCCCGTGCCAAGGAAGGTCACAACCGCCGCAAGATGTCTTTTCAGTTGTTTCGTGGATAGCCAGCAACGGATAGCCAGCAAGGCTGAAATCTGCCAGGTCCGTATGCATGTGCTACCGAGACGGCCAGCATGCGGTCCTTCGAGACGGGACTTTCGGACCAGGTCATTGGGTTGTTATCAGTCTCTTGTGTGTGCGTGTGTGTGCGTGTGTGTGTGTGTGTGTGTGCGTGTGTGTCAGCCCACTTCCCGATTCCTCCCGATGCTGCTGTAACTCGATACTGACGACGTCAACACCTGTTCTGTGGGCTCCCAGCATGCTCCATCCGTGCGAATGCTCTCACTCGTGTTCACTCTGTGAAGGAGAGGCTCGAGGACTACCCGAAGCGGCACGCATCCAGCTACACGTGTACTTTGTACTGAGCCTGTGCAATTGGAGCCCTGGAGCGTTGTTTGGAGCGCTCCCAAGGCAATGTCGAATCATTTCGCCGAAAAATCCTTGGAAAGCTGGCCTCCCAGACAGCTGAGGTTTGCAGCATTGGTGCACTAGAGCACTGGTGCACTTTCTTCTTGCATTGGCTGAGATTTGCTGGGACGTTTTCGTTGGTATACTGATCATATACACGATCATCGCGATGACTTGGCGAATTGGATTTGACCAGGCGCGCCGCACTTTTTTGCATAGGTGTGTCGGTGTGGTGGGTATGGAAGCGTTCGGAAGACATGGCCACGACACAGCAAGTAAGACATCGGAGGTGCCAAGCATAGAAGACACGAGAAGGACAAGTTGTGAGCTAAACACCACATCTCACGTGTCAAGCGGCTTGCAACCTCAGAATCCATGTTGCAATCTTCACTCATAGCCCGTGATTAGTGTTATCGAGTTTCGTACAACAGCAAAATCTAGGCCCGGCATACACGTCGAGTGCTTTTCCTTGCAGCAGAGTTGTGAGGTCCAGGACGGTGCACATTGTACCAACATTTGGGAGGGGGCATTCTGTTGCAGAACTTTGAGGTGACCACGGAAACCTGGGCCTCGGAAGGCTCCAACCGCAACCTGAACCTTTGAAGGGTGGAAGTATGAAATATGGCCTTGCTGACAGCTTGAGGTGATCCGTGCTTGAGAGGAGTCGTTGAATTTGGACAAGTCTATATACAGGGCCTGCGATCTGACTCAGTGTACCGACGAAGCCCATCTGCTCAACCCCAGCCAGTGGTACCATGCCGGCTTCAGTATCAGTGCCCCTTGCTTGAGCCAAGCAAAGACGCTGTCAGTTTCAATCAGATTGAGGGGACAAGCTATTGGTCCTCAAACAAATCAAAATCCCTGCCATTCTATCTTTCCGATTGCCTCCTGTGCTGTACAGTTGCATCACACTGATTCAAGCATAACTGCACGGAATATCCTGCCATCCGTCGCAACTGATAACGGGATAGTTTGTTCCACGTGCTGCACGGCACGCCTGCCATCAGATTGGCAATAAAATGAAGTCTATGAGGCCTGCAAGTTAATGGGAATAACGTCGGACCAAACAATCGTTGCAATTGCAAAGTAGGACATGAACACACCTGAAAGGGAACAGTGGTACAGGGATGGACAAGCTGCGAAGGCTAAAGCATTTCAGTCGCACAAGCAAACATCATGCCCAACTGTAAGACATCGGGGCTGGTTTCCTGGACACCGCCTTCGAGCTGGGGCACCCCTGATCATGGTACTGCGCGCTTTCTGTTGCTCATCGTGTTAGGGAGCATGGAGCATTGATAGTCTCGTATGTGGGTTTGACAACAGGCGGCTCAGGGAGGAGCACTGATCTTCGACTACGCTGTCGATGCAGTTTTCGCCGTTCAGCACCCAGAGTGAGAAGCCTGAAAAAGCTGAGATTTATACCGAGTCGTTCAGTGTGGTGCTCCAGGGCCACGTCAGGTTTTCGAAAGGCGTCTGCTGCAGTCAATTGGAAGAGCTTCACGGTGCATGTGTATGGATGACAGAAGCGTGTCGTCGAATTCACGAGCACGAAGAAGCTCTTGTGGGGGATTCATGTTCCTTCTCACGACGGAGAGCGGTAAAGGATCGAACGACGACAACTAGGAGCGTATCTGCAGTCGAGGTGCGATGGTTTTGGAATCGACGGGGCTGGGTGGCTGAGGTTGACACGGTTCTTTGCTTTCGCACGGGCTTCTACGCAGAGTCTGCCGAGGCTGGCATGGAACCGTAAATGTCAAGTGTCGGGAAATCTGCGAGCCTTTGCCGAGGATACCCTGATCACCGATGCCTGGGAGATTGCCAAGCGGCACACATCCCCAATGTGTTTGGGGTCTTTGAGTCTTTGGTGCGAAGCCTTGCTGATATGCCTTTGGGAGTTCTGTATGCATGGAAGGATGGAAAAATGGATGTATAAATGTACTGGTTCATGCCTGTCCGTCCATCCGTTCGCGGGTATGTCTTTGTATCTGTGTCTGTATGTCTGTCTGTCCGTCTGTCTGTGTCTGTCTCAGGTAAAAGTCCAGCTCCAGCAGAACAAGCAAATCTAGGTCTGTGTTCATATACATGGATGTGTACGAAAACATAGACTATACATACCTGCACATACCTAGGGACATGCATTCTGTGTGCATCATAAGCGTATGCACGTGTTCCGATGCGTCCGTCCGTACATATCTTTCTTTGTATCGACGTCCCAAAAAGTCATACGAAAACACCCGGATGTATTTGCGATGCCGGGCTGGAGTTGAGTCGACTGTCGCCATCACGATAGAGCCGCTAGTTGTGCCGGACATGTTTCGAAATGAAGGCTGACGGTGCTACCGCAGCTGATAGGTACTGCATGTCCTACTTCCTCTTCGATCTTCTTTCGTGGCTTCCTATAGATTTGCTGGTTCAGGCCGGTTGCAAACTGCCGACATGAGCTTTGGAGTGGCGTGCGATGTAGGTCATCACCGGTCATAGCGGTGCAGAGATGAAGTCTGAAACTCAGGGGGTGCAGCAGGCTCATGATCAGCAAAACGGCCGTAAGTGCATATCGCGATGAGCAGTCCAACGTCTGGCTTCCTGCAAGTGTTTGCCCATAGCTAGGAGAGGATCTCATCTTGCACAAGATGTTGAAAAAGAGTTTATGGACATTTGTCGTCTTGGCAACGCCTAAGCCAGAGGAGCGAGCTGTGTAATCGTGACTGATGAGACTATATGGCAAGTGGCAGCTGCGCAGCTGTTGTTGAGTTTCCAGGTCAGTGAAGCTTATGAAGTTCGTCAGACTGGTGAAGCCCTTACCTGTGGAACGTCCGTTTGGGATCCTTAGGTAATTTTTCATTCGTAACGTTGCTCAACAAGCGTGACCATGAGAAGAGTTGCTTCGCTCCTCCGAGATCCGGCTTGCCAAGCTCATGAGACTCTTCAAGCTCGGCAGGCTGTTGTCTGAATTCTGACTCGATTCCTCGCTCTGCTTGTCTTCGAAGCTTCCAAAAGGTTTCTTGCCATCCTCGAGGAGCAGCTGCACCTTAAGCCCGCAATGATTCGCATGGCCACGCGGCTTCCTGTAAGTTTGAGAACCGTGTTTCGTGCCCCTTTTGGTAGTTTCAATGCCTGTGAGTTGCAGGACATGTCTAGCTGGTCGACTGCAGGTGAGGCTCATCTTGAACATCGTCTTCCTGGCACATCTCCTGGCCTGCATGTGGCGAAAGCCTTACCAAGTTGGAGAAAGCGAACGCTGAGCGCTGTGACTGAGACAAGGCACTTCATCGCACTTCCTGCTTGCGGGGAGTCAGAGGAGGTTTGCAATTTCTGCTGCAAGTCGAATGTATAGTGGCGTCTGGGCACTTGAGTAATTGCTCTAGATGATGTACTGCCAAGAAACGTGTCCGGTATATTGAGAGTACAACAGAGTAGCCGGATTCAGCAAATCGAGGCCCGTTTCGGCACAAAGAGTTGGAAAAAAAGGAAGCCACCTGTCCCGAACAAGGAGATCTGCAAGACAGACACCAGTCAAAAACAAGGCCGCTGCATTCGCAAAACGTCCGACATGGGTCGGATGGGAAAATCAGATTTGGCGATCCGGACGCATCATATATCTTAAACGCACCCCTTCGTGTAGCGATGCCGGTTCATCACATATCTTAAACACGCCCCGTCGCCACCTCATGTGGCGATTGCGGTTCACATATATCCTAAACATGCCCGCCTCATTTGGCGATTCCGGTTCCTCATATATCTTAAGCACGCCTCCTCATTTGACGATACCGGTTCATCATATATCTTAAACAGTTTCAGGGTCGTTTCTTCGCAGGTCCTAAATCGGCCTCTTTATTTGGCGATCCCGATTCATCGTACAGCTTAAACACACCCCCTCTTTTGGCATCATTTGGCGATTCCTGTTCATCATGGTTCATCATATATCTTACACACGCTCCCTCGCCCCCTCATTCGGCGATCCCGGTTCGTCATATGTCGAAAACGCGCCCTCTTTCGACCGGTGATTCTGTCCCGAAGTTTCGCTCCCTTACCAGCAGAGGTTGAAGGATCCCGTCCTTTCCGTTTACGTCCAGAGACGATCGTTTGGATGGAAATTCGTGACTTGACAGGTTCGAGGCCAAGGCTTGCTTGTTGCTTGGGCTTGCGGTTCTGCCAAGAGGCGGATGGAGGAGTAGTCACAGCAACACTTGCGAGCACCGGAAATGCCTGGCTTGAGAATTACAGCGCAGCACCATGATGCAGGAACCTTATACCCCCATCGCACCACGCGCAGTTCTTTACCAACGCCTCTCTATACACGACTGACGAATGCTGTGACTGATAGTAATGCGTGTTGCAGGCATTCCGGCACCAGGTAAGGCGGCCAACCTCACCCGATGCGACCTTCGCGTGGCACGAAAATGGACGGAAGAGGCTTGCAATCAGGTGCCGCCCACGGGTAGAACACGGCACAGCCTGCAGCAGCAGCAGCAGCAGCAGCAGCAGCAGCAGCAGCAGCAGCAGCAGCAACCAGGTATTGCCGATCGCTTGCGATCGAATGGTGGTCAATGTAGCAATGAATCACTTCGAGACAAGGAAGACGAAGTCGACAATGGTGCCTCAGGAATGCTGGCAGGACACGAAAGCAGTCTTCACCTTCTGTGATCATTATCGCAGCCACTTCGATAAGAGCTCTTCGCGCAAAAATGGGCGGTATGCACTTTGTGCCAGTGTCATTGCTGCGTCAATGTGTTGAACATGGCTTGCTGCAGGATATATCTTCGATTGGCCCCTGCTCAGACAAGCTTGATGATGTGTACATCAGTCCGAACTGGATCAGGCGGAATTGGGAATGAGTGTTGCGCGATGTCGGTTCTCAACTTCCGCATAGGTGTTCAGATGTGGACATGGTGCAGCTTCCGTGTTGCTGCGGCCGTTTGATATATTCAGATGCCTTGAAACCGGATCTGTCAGGCCATCAAGAACGGCCGAGCAAGAAGCTGAAAGTGTTTTCGTAGAACCTCGAAGAAAGCTGTCACATGAGGAGGGGTGCGCCATGAATGCGGGGGTTTTTAGGTTGTGGATATGGAACCATGAACTCAGGCACAGCACCAGGACTCAAGACCTAGACCACAGGGGTTTCGGTAAGTTGATGGCATTCCTGGACTCGGAGTGGCACAGTGACAGCGGGCCCGCCGCGCAGCCGTGGCCTCAAAGCTCGAAGTGCTGTGCCGCCGGGCAGTGGCACCCAGCCGCCCAGGCTCCGAGCCTCGCTGAAGGCGAGGCGAAACTCGCAGCGCTCGGCTGCGCAAGGAGCTTCTGCGATCGCACTTTCGTTTCTCTGTGCAAGGCCCTACTCCAAGAACTTGGTGCCAAGCGGGAGGAAGCCCGTGCCAAGGATAATGAGGAGAGCTTGCCGGCTTGAACAAGTGTGTGAGGAGAATATGCAGGGCAGTGTTGAAACATTGAAACCGACCTGAACTTTGCAGGAGGCCGCCGAAGAGGTGAGAAGCTTTGTGTAACGCCAGCAAAGCCTTTGAGCTGCAGGGGATATGTCTCAGGCTGGCAGACGCTTGGCGGAAGAGCCGGACAGGCCACGTGCAATTTGCAGTGTGATTCGTCATAAGTGCGGCTCGCTCCTGCGCGTCGTTCAGGCTGAGTGGTTTCTCCTCCTTTACAGCTGATCTGGTCGCCGGCTTTCCCAATCCTTGAGACACTGCAAGCCTAGCGGGCCTAGCAGCTTGCAGCTCAGGTGCTAAAGGAGGATGCCACCGGCTTTGAGCTCTGGATCGGGTCTCTCGAGGACAACGTGTTTCCGAAGAGTAGCAGAGGAATTGTGAAGTCTCCGAACATTCGGAGGACGCGCTGAATCTTCGTGCCTTGCGTGACCGTGGAATTGATGCGGTCCTGAATTGTGCTGTGCGCGACTGCAACTCGCCGCACTTGAGAAGTACGAGATTCACCCGCTGCTCTGAGTCGAGTCGAGGTGAGGCGGAGATCGCGTGCTTCAAACCGCACAGGTGGGTAGCCGGTGTCCAGCAGTGCCAAGTTCGCTGCGTGGCTGCGTAGGTGTCAGCGCCGTGCGAGGGCCCACACCCGCAATGCATCGATGGGCATGGACCCGCTGATGCCCAGAGAGCAGAGCAGAAGAGAGCAGAGCGATGCAGAGCGCATAGCAGCGGCCGTAGGACTCAGAGAGCAGCAGTGCTATGCAGTCCTATGCGGTGCTATGCGGTGTTTTGCTGTTTTGCTGTTTGGTGCGGCGTTCCGGGGCGCAGAGGAGGCAAAGCTTGGAGCCAGCTGGCTCGGCCTTCGAAGGGATCAGGCCTGGCGCTTCGCTGACCCGCGCTTTTTGCCCTTTCACGCGCTCTGCCCTTTCGCAGATTTGGAGCCTGGCCAGCTTTGACGCTGACTGGTATTCTGATGTCTTAGAGTCCAGACCTCGGAGTTGAGGCAAGCCATCGTCATTCTTCTGTTTTCTGAAAACAGGCTGGATGTTCTGTATGAGGGACTTCCAGCAAAAGATGAGGTCCCCGTTTGTGCGAATGCAGTTTGGTTCACTGAAGGGATAGCGAAAGCAGGTCGGATATGACATGCGAGGGCACTGTCAGGAGGTGCTTCTTGCATGTTCTAGTTTTGGAGTGCATGCTGTGCATGCTGCGCTTTCTTGGTGTTCTCACAGTCTCGACATGCTGTCGCAGCCGCGAGGTTTCTGCACAACAGCTGCGCGATGCAAAAACAGAATGACATTGACATCGCCCAACATAAGCCCGTCGCAAGCCACCGCTACAACCTTCGTTCCAAGATGGTCAGGTAACTTCGGTCAGGATGTCAGGGCAGCGATTGGGACTGGCGCATGGTAGCAATGGCGGCACGCTGTGGCGGCCCACGCAGTGGCGCAGTGACCCAGTGTTGCTGCCCTCTGGGGCTTCAGCTTTGGCGGCCAGAAAGGCAAAGAACGTCTCGCAGAAGGTGCAACAAGAAGCACCTGCGGCCACCCGAAGGCTGCTCGTACTTCTGGCTGTGCAGGCAGCTCGCCGAAAGCGAAGCTGCGAGTCATTATGACATTATGAGTCTTATCACCAACACCGTGAAATCGCGCACTTCAGGTTCTTCGACCAGGTTCCTGCAACGCCAGACAACGGCGATGTGCCTGTGTGGAATGTAGCGAGAGCAGGCACCCCGTCAGGTTGACTTCATCAGTCTGCTTTGGTGGGACTCGCACTTTCCGCTGTGCATAGGCTGAGCTGTGAAGAGTCGATATCTGCCGAGACTTGACTTCATGTGGCAGTGGAGGAGTGACAGGTTGTGACAGACATAAGTTTAGTTTCAGCGTGCCAAGGTTTCCTCGAATGGGCTGCGCTTCTTGTTCTTCACTGAACAAAACTTAAGCTGCCAAGAGCTACAACGGCGAGCCGAAGATCTGGTGGCGAAGTCGGCGGGTAGGCAGTGGCGTTTGTAAGTGTGTGTGTGTGTGTGTTTGTGTGTGTGTGTGTGTGAACCTCCCTAGCACATGGGAGCAGAGGGTCACTCCTACACTGTTTGCAATTTTTGCTTTTCAACATAATCAGACATTGGACATTTACCAAATCAACTGTTGCAGGGGGATCAGGCTTCCAGTGACTGACCTGATCCAACGAAGCTAGGTCACTGGAAGGGAAGTGATTGAGGACGCTCAGTCATGTACCTGCACAATTTTCGGCAGCCCCCTGTGGTGCCAAGATTAGTTTGAGGACAGGCCCCCTGTGGTGTCCAGATTAGACAAACAATTTGTACGGTTGCCGCAATCTGACAAGCTTTTGCAACAACAACAACATGCCTCTCTTTTTCCTCTTGCACTCGTACTCTTGGCCGAATCCATCAGTGTGATCAGCGTGGGTCGTTGAGACTCCAGAGCAACGGCTTTCCGTCATGGCGCCGTGGTGACCCTCCGGGGAGACCGGTGATGAACCGGGTGTTCAGCCTTCGTTCAGATCGTTCAGATTCTCCCGATGCTATTTTATCTCTCTCTCTCTGATGCTCGCATGTGCGTCTGACATGAGTGCAGGTGCAGTAACCGACGTCTAGTGCAGTAACCGGCCGCTAGTGCACAGGATTACCTCGCTATTCTGTCCTCTATTCGATCGCTTCTTTATTTCTCAGGGACTGCAAGGGCATGGTGCAACTGACATGAGGGCAGGTGCGGTAACATTTGTCTAATGCAAGTGAAGCAGCGCTTCCTCCGGGAAGTAATCGGCCCTCTTCTTTCTTTCCGTCTTCGACCTCTCAAGACAACCAGGACAGCCTGCACTTTGCTTGTGCAACTGTGTTTGTCTCACCAACTTCGTTGCAGCTATGTGGCCGGATTATTTTACCACGCAGCCACCAGCAACACCATACGCACCAACAGCCCGACCGGTGCTCAATCAGTTTCACCCGAACACCTGGGTACCGCAGTCACAAGGATACCCAGCAATGATGCCAACTGGCATTGCTGCCATTCAGCAGCACACACTGCCGACGCAACCCACTACGATCCCTGTTGAGCAGACACACAGCTTCCCCATGATGCCATGTGGACACAATGCTCCTATACCACAGCATCCGATGGTATACACACAACTCAGCACACCACAGCCCCAGCTGCCACAACAACCTCCACCCCAGCAATTCATGACGCAACATTCCCCCACTTTCTTGAACCCTGTTCCTTTGCCTACCCATCCTACAGTTTTTCCCACGAGCCCATCACCTCTGACACCGCATCACTCCCAGCCTGCCACATACAACATTCCTTTCACACCACCTGCTCCACAACCCCAACCTGCACCTTGCAGCATCCCTTCCACACAACCCGCTCAACAATCCCATATACCGCCGCCAACGACCCTCCAACAAGCTTCACAATCTCACCCCACCAATGTTACCACTACCGATGCTGCACACATTGCCCCGCAGACACCGGCAATCACCCCCCAACCCCAGCCAATAAGCACAGCCAACACCCCCTCTGTCAGCACATTGCCACCCACACAATCACCACCCGCTACGGGATCGGGAGACACTGACCCGCTCGCAGCACCTGCTTCTTCCCACCATCCCCCGTTGCCACGCAGGCGACGGCGCTCACCCACACGCAGCAGAACCCGCACCTTGAGCACTAGACGCCGACGACGCACACGCAGCAGAGCACGACCTGCCAGCAGCGGGAGACAGCACCGCCGACACAGACACCACCGATCCCGCGACACCCGCAGAAGTCGTTCTCGCAGGGACACCAGGCGATCTTCGTCGACACCTCCGCGGAACTCGGTTGTGCTCCGCAGCTATTCTACAGTGCGTGACGTTGATACCAACAAGTGGCATTACAGAGCCACACAGCTACGCCAGAGGCCACCCACCCCACCCAAGGTCCCACAAAGGACATTGGCCTCGCAGGTTCAGCGAATCGCCCTCCGCATCAAGGGCAGCCAAGCAGCACAACAGCAGCCCCCAGCCGGACAGGGCACCTCCTCCCGCCAACAGGCTCAGCACAATCCCTCCAGCTCCGTTCGGGCACCTGCCCCGACCTACGATGCATCAACAGCCGCTGCCCCATCGGGTCAGCCAACCCTCGAACAATTGGGCAAACACAGCAGACCACCACAGATTGATGTGGTGCCATTTTCTGAGCTTTACGAACATGAGAAGCCGACTCCTCACGCCGTCGACATGGAAGAAGCTCACAAACTCGCCAAAACTTTGGGCGAGATAGCTGCTGACAGCGATTTCAGGCAGGAGACTTTGGCCGAATTTGCACATGCAGTGCTACAATCAGGCACGCGATCAGCGTGCAACGAACTTGGGGCAGTGCTGACGCCA